TTTTCTGAAGCTATTCAGTACTTTGTGAAGTGACTCCTCACTTTTTTGAAGTGATTCAGTACTTTTTGAAATGATTCCAAACTATTCTAAGAGTGATTCAGAATTTTTCGAAGTGATTGAAAACATTTCTGAGGCTATCCAATACTTTCCAAAGTGATTCCAAACTGTATTGAAGTGATTCAGTATTTTTCGATGTGTTTCCGAACTATTCTCAGGTGATTCAGTACCCAAAGTTGTTTCGAGCTTAATGGGGTAGTTAACCCTATATCATTACTGCCTTTCACCTCTTACATAGCGTTATCATTCGGTTCGTTAATCGCTTGTCATTTTGTCATTTGGAGATATTTTTGATTCCTTGATCACAATAGATCAGAAAAATGGTCGCAGTGATGAAAACACCCGACAAGGATTTAAAAAAAATAGTTTAGGACTAGAATGTGATATATTTGAATTTGAATTTGCACTATAAGCTGTAAGCTTGTTACCATACTTAAAAAATAGAGACAAAGTACGTGTTTCACACATTTCAAATTAAGCCGGTTTCTTAAAAATAACCTAAGTCTACTTCGTATCACTAATGGCATCATATTTGTAGAAATTACATCTTGTAGTCTGTTGAATTTGTTCAGAAATCTGCTTGTAGGCTTGTGCTGTGTGTAGTTTCTTGTCCTCAATCACATAACATATGTGGAACTTCATGCAAAATAGCTTACTAAAAGTTGACCCCTTTTTTTTTGTTGCCTCAGTGGTATAACCATAGAGGTAACTCTAAGGCCAGAAGGTCCCGAAGAAACGTGCTCAACTTTTTGGCTCAGCTCTGGTACTCTCTTCGGTCCCAAGCTAATCGATGCACCCCTTGAAACATAGGAAAATCCACGAACCCCTCATTTTATCTGTCAAAATTCCATAGCGAATCATAACAAACATAGTGTAGTACTAGGATTTCAACTAGAATGGGGAACGTTAATCGATTTGCTTGGGACCAATAGGCTAGTCAAGTAGTTAGCCAATTTAAAATCGTTAGTTTCCACCGGTTGGTATAACTGGCATAGTTGGACATAGATGTGTCAAAACAAAATTTCCGTAAACAATGGCTTCTTTCGTAAATTTCTCGTAGTTCAAATTCAATCAATGTAAGCCACCAATTCTATCGGATGGGAGGACTCTCGCTCTGCACAATCATCGTGATGGTTTACTTGAGTGAGTTTTCATTCTCGAGAAATTAGCCGATAATGTAATTATTTACGTTTGAGGAATTGGCACCGTAACTGAAACAAAAAATCGAATGTCGTGCTTCAGATAGGTATGGAAATATTAATTGCATAAAATTTAAAAATGAAACAGCAAAAAAAATATCTTCATCAGTATCATTCCCATTAAAGACAAACTAAGGACTCATCCCCTAGGTAAAATTATCAAGATCACAGGTATAAAAATGAAACTACAACGTGCAGAATCAGAACCTTCCTAACTAATAACCAAATCTGAACAACTTTGCTCAAGCCGGCAACTTTCCATATGACCATGATTCTATGTTGGACCCAAATTTCATATATTATAAGCGCCTCTAGTGACGTAGTTTTATGTTAAACCTATATCAATTGACACAAACTTGTTGGTCTAACCCAGTTCAACAAGTTTGTTTAAGACAGGACAGGTTTATGTATTGAAATTAATGAGATAAAAGCTTCTTTTATCGATCTGTGTGCTGAAAATACCTGGGAATGCCTTTATATGGCCGTGGGAATAAAAAGAGAAATTCGATGAAGAGAATCTGTCAATGTTACCTAGGACCTAATGTGATGTTAAGCTTAATTTGCTCTTCAGTTATCAAAATGGCGTCCAAGCAAGAGCAGCAACGCATTCAAATTTTGCAGTGAAAATCCCATAAGCTGTGGGTATCCTTATTCGTGGTTCCTTTTTCACGCTTCCTATTAACCGGGAATACGAATGCCTGATTGTAATTTCCACATAATTTTAATGAAATCAGTATTCTTGAAGACGACTTTCCAACAATTTCAAACTAGCATAGAGTTTAAATTTCAGTTGAATAAAAGTGAACGGAATGACTAACATCACTCACATCAGTGCGCGGAATTATGTGTACCATCACATCATTTTGCGAGCCATATTTTGAAATTTTGGTACTGATGTTTACAAAATCTTCAAGGGGTTGGTCACTCCACACAGTGTGCCAAAAATACAGATGGGCACACCTGGGCACTTTCATTGGCACCCATGGATAGAAATTTCCATGATATTTAAAGTAACTGACAACACTGTACTATATCTGCGCCTGCTCTGTTTATGTGTCAATATCCCAACAAACAATTTTAGCTGCAGTTTAGCTTATACAGTTAGAATTTGCCTTATGCAGCTAATTTTTGCCTGTATAAGCTAAGCTGCAGCTAAAATTGTTTGTTGGGATGTTAAACATTGTTATCGACACAATCCAATTTTTGATTTCATAGCTTCAACCGTGAATTTCCGGCGAAGTTCTGTCACATTGTACATATTTTCAAAACATTAGGATGAGCGAGGTCATCAAGGCGATGACCGTTGCCAAGTAAAACTGTAATCTGGGGGTCATACTGGAATTTTTCCGGATGGTGCTGGAGTCGCTACCGGAAGATTTTGAGATCGGAGAACCTCCACTCAAGACGATCGAACTGTTCTAGGGTCTGGTGTGGAAGGCTTCGGTGTTTCAGAACAGTTTGATCTAAGTTGGGAAGGGGGTGGCATCGTGCCGATTCGGAATGTGATTAGTGAATTGGTTAGTGGGGAAAGCGAGACCCTAAAGGAGGAAGAGAAGGGAACTTTGAAAACATTGGTAGATTAATTTGGGGTGGGGATTTCGTGTCGGAGCTGAAATCACAGCCGAAGGAGGTTCAGTGGAATTATAAGATGTTGATTGGTCAGTTGTTGGGCTTGAAGGTGAGCTCCTGAAAGTCGACATCGGTGAGTTGATTGAAGGGTCGTGTCTGAGACCTAACCCTGGTAGCCCAGCGCTTGAAATAAAATATTTATAGGCTTGGCGACATTCACTTCCTTGATTCGTTCTTCATCGTAACTGACATCGATGAATTCGCCTTCGATGATGACTCGGACCATGTTCGGAGGTAAAATCTTCACCGGTATTTGCTTTCCTACCATCTACATTGTCCCAGCTTTTACAGGTGTTCTCTGGCTGGCACTGCTTTTGGCGGGAGACATCATGCTTCTCTCCATATTAAACCCCACCTCCACCAGGGAAGTCTGATTCCGGCTGAAACTCCCACTAGAACGCTTTGGCGACGCATCTTTGACTGAGTCGATGGCTTTCGGGAGAAACTCCTCCCGAAAGCGTTCATCAGAATCTGAAGAGCATCTGGACCAGTTTTCTCTGATGATGCACGTTCGCTTCGTTTACTTACCACCGTCACCTGTGGTTCATCCAAGTCCTCATCATACTCCAATCCAGTAGAAGCTATTGTCGTATCGAAAAATGGAAATGCCTCCCCGGTAGAACGTTCTCGCTCGAAGCTTCGATTCGGTGGCCGAGGCCGTTGCGTTGGGTTCAGTGTAGTCCTTTTCCGATAGAATTTGGGAGCAACGAACCGAGACAGTTAGGATCTGGGATAGGATTCCACCGCTTGTTGTTTTGTCGCTTCAAAACAAAACATGTGAACTGTCAACTTAACCGGGTTGCCAAACATACCATTATACAAACAAAAAATTCAGTCTGATGACACTCTGAGCACTGCCGGCACACGTGAGGCACACGTGAGGCACACTGAGAAAACTCTTCTTCCCAAGTTGCGGAACAACCCACCTTCACGGTATTGCAATGAGTTGAAAAGGGTGTTACCCGACGAAGCTTACTTCTAAATCACTAGATTAAAAAAAAGCATTAATACTTAAGCGGTCCACTAAAGGAAGGGGTCCATTAAAGGGAAATTTACCCTAATTCCAAATTCAATCAAAGTGAATTCTCGAGCTTCCGCCCGAACCATCCTATTTCGCCCACTGCAACCCGTAAGTGTCTACCCACCACCCACAGTGACGAAGACACCATCTCAGCTCCCACGCAAAGCAGAGCAAGAAAAAAGTACACAACCGACAAAGTAATCCTCCAGAAGAAATTAACTCACTTCAAAATGCAAGCCCGAATCCCTCGTCAAGCACTGAGACCAAGCCAAGGGCCATGAGCAGTTTTTCCTTTCGGTTTCTGGTCCGTCATGTCAAGCCAATTTCACCCACCTCGCAGTCACGCAAGAGCGCCGGAAGAAAGCGAGAAATGGGGGGGGGGGAGAAAGAGCGAGTTCTGGCCTTAGAATACCTACCTACCTACATGTACATGATTGCTGTGACCACAACACGGCAACAACAAAAGCAACGATACGGCTCCAGGCCTACTACTGCCACCGTGTTGTGATTGAAGGCTAATAAAGGTGTTTCCTGTAAGTAAATGCAAGGACCGTGATGATGATGATAATGCTGCTGCTGCATTGGTGACGGATGGGCTGGGGGTGTCCTCTTCAATCTAGTATTCCTTTTCTTTTTTCTTTCTGGAGATGACAAATTTCCGTCCTGAAGGCTGATTTCACGGTTTGACAGTTTTCGGTTGCCCTTTTTTGCGGCGAATAAAGTATTTCTGCTCTCAGAAAGTGGCAGCGCATTTTCGCTCTCTCTCGTTGTTTCTCTGCTGCTGCTGCTTTCACCGCGCGTTGTGTGTGAGTGTGGGATGTTGCCCCCACCTTCCACGGTAGATGGGTTTGAATTAAACATGTGTTTGTCGCCGGTGTGGCGGTTGGAGGTGGCGGAACAAGTGAAGCCCAATCACAGAACTGCTGCTGCTGCTGCTGCACGCTGTCAAGTGAGCAAAATCCGAGAAGAGAGCGAGTTCAAATTCTGCGAGAACCGAATAAAAAAGTTGAAAGAACTGTGGAACTGCACTGTTTTCCAGTGACGAAGAGCCACCGACGACGACGAGAGCCGCCTGGCGAATTCTCGAGGTGGCTGGTTGAGATTGGCCTACTGTGTCGTACCGATGAGCCACCGAGTGGGTGAGTGAGGAGAGCGAGCGAGCGAGACTCGATTGTGTAACAACTAAGGCCCCGCTGTTTCGGTTTCGCTGGTGTGTGCGGTCTGTGTTTGTCCAAGAATCTAAAAACTAGGAGGCTTAGTTATAGTCGGAAAATAGTTGACGGTTTTCACCTGCGCTAACCACAACTAGACAGAGAGCTACCTGTAGTTCCGTGGGGTCAGATTTGTGGCCAGTTTCAGTCCGTTGATTTCCATTTTTCATCGTAGCCAGTCGTCGTCTTCGTCGTCGCCGTCGCCACCGTCATTACATGGGAAATAAATAGTGCCTTTAAGTTTGCGTCTCTCTCGCTTACTCTGGAGCGGACGGTGAGCTGACACGCCACTGCCCAGCCGGGAGCCGACCGGGTGTGAGAAAGGGAAAGGTGATGCGTGCGTGTGCTCTGTGCCCTGGAAGACATCGGGCGAAGCGGACCAACTACGAATCGACCATCAACGGCAACGCCAAGAGGAGTGCTACTTGTAGAGCTTATTTATATTTGCTGATAAAAATGCAATTTAAATGAACACACGAAACGATTGGACACGATCCAAATGATATTCGGTCGTCGGAAGTGGCAACAAGGAGGAATTCGAAAGAGCCATCATCATCAGCGACGGTGATCACGAGCAGCAGCAGCAGCAGCAGGTGGCGCTATCAACAGTGTAAGAGAGATGACATGTGCTTAAATTTAAAACCTCCGTTTAGGTCGTGTCTTCGGATGGCCGTGGTGTGTCTCTGTGTTTATCACTCTGTGTAGATGTGCATCATCCCATATATCACTGTCTGTTTTATCGTTGTTATTGTTATTGTCAAAAGTACGGAATAGAACGATAGAGCACCGTTGAACGTTTGTTAGTTATATAGAACCGTAGAATAGAGGACTATTTTATAGATGAACACTACCGTTTTGTGATTTCGAAAGCAATATACAAATAGATACAGATATAACACGTCCAGTTTGACAGTTTTTGAGAAACAATAGGACACAAAATGGGTGCGGCCAGTACCGGTGCAGATTCGTTGGAATGCTGCAACAATCAGGAGGAAGCATCCGTCCAAAATAACCAAAATGCGAATCACCAGCTGAACCGAGCGCAACATCAACCCCCGGCTGCTGCCCCGGCACCGTTAGCAGGATCCGAAAACAATCCACCACTGCCACTGGTATTGATCTCGAATCACACAACGACCACTAGTGCAAACCACCAGCCCCCACCTACCACTGTGCTACCATCACCGGCGCCACTGCACCTCAACAATGTCAACCAACAACAACAACAACAACAAGCCCAACGCAACAACCACCTTCACTACACGCTCGACATTGAGAACAACAATCAAAGCAACCATCTATATGTAAATCCCCAAGGAAACTTCAACTACGATTACTACCTGCAAACTTTCTTCGATGAGCACGACTACTACAACCAACTCAACAACAACAACAACAACACCAACAACATCAACAATTTCAACGCTCACAACTACACCGGAACCGTGTCGATCTACTCGGAAGCCGAAACCCCGATGACGGTGGCAGCCTCCAACCTGTCCGCATCCTGCCAGTGCCTATTTCTTCGATACTGCAAGCATAAAAAACGCGCCTCGTCCTCGTGCTGTCAACGGCCGCAGCTCAAACCGGACCCCAAGCAGAAAAAATCCGCTAAACCCAAGGAACCGGAGAAAAAACCAAAACCGCCCGTAGGCGGCGGAGGAGGAGGTGGTGCCCCTCGCGGTCGTGGTGCCGCAGCTCACGGAATGGATAACAACGATGCCGACCCGATGATGCGCCGTCCCCGACGTCGGAAGGACAACAGCGAGCAGGATCTCGCCTCCAAACAGCAGCAGCAGCAGCAACAACAACAGGAGCAGCAGGGCGCCACCACTTTCGATCAAAAGCAACAGCAATCGAAGTAAATATGAGCCTAACTCTGTATACTCCCCCCCCTCCATCAAAGAAAAAAAAAATCCTTCAACCCACGCTTCTGTTGCCAAAACCCACCATCACCACCTCACCTGCCATTTTTCCCCTTTCTGCCAAAACACACACGATCATTCACTCACACACATCGCGCTTGGAAAAAAAATCCAATCACTCAACAAAGCAACAAAGAGGATGCCATGCCCCGTTTACACACAATAAGCCCAATTTGCATAAAATCAATTCGCGGATGCCTCGCCGCCGGCCGCCATCGTCGTCAATGTTGCCGAACTGCCAGTAGCTAGTTAGTAGGATGTAGGGTAAGCGTGTTTGCGTGCGCTAATGCTTTCTCGTCAGTGCAGCGAGTGCGTGTGCGTGGCACCCGCCGTGGCCCGCCCCCTCCCTGCCTTCCGCAAGTTCTAATGCTTTCCGCCCAATTTCGCTTCGCTTTGTGTCTCTCTGTGTCTCATCTAGTTGGCTTTGCTTTTGCTGTTGTTGTTGTTTTTGTCATGCTTTCAGGCGGTCTAGGAGTGGGGGCAGACTTTCTTTGTTCTTTCCGAAGGGTTGGACTTGACCTTGGGACCGGAACGGAGATTGTTGATTTTCGGTGTGGGGAGCAAGCTTGAATCTCCGATAAAATCAACATTGTGGTATGAAGCTTTAACACTCATTTCATCAGATACCATGCGTCTGCATCAGAATCAAAACTTCAGTTTTCGGAGACAATGGAAGTAGCTCTTGTTGCAGTGTTGGATATTTGATGGCATGATGTGATCGCATATTTATACGTGTATGCTCGCACGCAGGGATGCCAGAAGATCTGCAACGAGATCGAAGCAATATCTTAAAATTACTTAACCGCTACTTTTTAACTTAACTTGGTGAGGGAGGCGCGGGACTCTGAGGTGGCAGGGAGAGGCAAATACCACCCTCGTTTATAGGATTTTGAACATTAAACAAGTTCCAGAATCATTACTAAAGGGCTGTCCATCAACTACGTAAAGGGGGCACAGTGTTGGGAGATGGCAACATCACGAACTTAATTGAACTGTGTATAAACTATTGACTAAATCAAAAAAGTGCCATGTGAGGAATTGTTTACATAAATATCGCCAACAATCCTACAATTTCAAAAATTTATCATGGCCTACTATGACAAAAATCAAAAACCTAAATTTTTCCCCTAAAGAGATAGAAGGATACTTTCTTGAGAAAAGTTGAAAAACTACTCAAAATAAGAGACTTTGTTGAAAATACAAAATTTATATGCCTAATAGTTTAAAGATATGGACCGTTTTCACTAACTTTTTAGATATTTTTTTCAAAGTCCACGGTTCAAACATTTTGTTAAATAATTTGCCTGAACAACACTCTACGCAGGAGGGGTAGTAATCTTTCAAACACTGTCTTAGTTGCTTATGGACAAAACTTAAGGTCGCAGAAAATTATCCAAGTCCTAGAATTAAATTACTTTATTGATGACTTGGATATGAAAAGCTTTTCAAAGTATCTAACATTTTAAATTTTAATAACTAACAGAAATTTTTTTAAGCTGTCATTTTTTTTAGAAAAAAATTAACTTAAATTTAGACTAACATGAATCTTCGAGACTGTGACTAGATCTGAGGTGCAATGATTCCACATTCTAAAGCCGTAGAAGTTAGAACTTTTTCGAGATCGACAACTCAAACAAACTACAAGGAACAACCCTATGGGGTTATACGCAATGGTGACGTAGGACTATGTGGTCTTGTGTAATAAATGTTATTTGTTAACCGCAGCAGGAGCTTGTGTTTTGTGCAGGAATATGAATCTGAGCGGGGTTCTCTCTGTTTATACTGCGACTCATGAAGAGCTACTGATTCCGATCAATAGCGGTGTGGCTTCTTCCTCCTTCTATCGATGCTCATGTGGGCTGCAGCTCACTGCTTGGAGGCAGCTTTTTGTTGTGTACAGGAGAACACCACCACTCACCACGTGGTGATGAATACACACCGTTTTTTGAGACCGGATGGAATTCAATTTTGAAATATGTGTTAGGGAAAACGCTTTTCGCAGGCAATCGGTGATAATTTTAATTGTCATAGCAACAGTTGCACATTGGTGTAATTTTCAATAGTGACATTTTTAAACATGATGCAGTCTTATATTCAACAGATGCGTAGAAATATTTCTGATCGATTGGTGATAAAATTACAGAAATTGGTCCAGCGACAGCTGAGTTATTAACGTTCCAAATCTTTCATAATTTTGTTACATGTTCCATTTTCGGTTTTAACAAAGTGCACCCCCATATAGAAATCACAGACGTATTCCTACGTAAAAAAATAATACAAGCTTTGAAAAATACTGAAGAAAGATTAAACAAAAAAACATACAAATTATTGGAAAAAGGTCAAGGTTCTTGGACTTGAAGAAGACCCTTCTGTTGTGACTTTATCAAAAGTATTTCGATGAGATTTTCTAAACACGTTACAATTCTAGGGATAAATCTAAGGAATTCTGAAGATTTTTCAAATGCAGCTATGAGGAGAGCTTCAAAAAAGTCTTTGAATTGCTTCCAAGGTAATTCCAAGAACCTCCTGATTCATGGTGAAGCCTGAGGATAATTCTAAGCAATTTACAAGAAGAGCAACAAATGAACTCTAAGAGGAAATCCAAGTTCTGAGGAGACTCCCAAAAGAGTCCTAAAGAGAATTCGAGGAGCGTTCCAAGGAAGTTCTGATTAGAAATACCTTCAAAGCAAGATAAATATGAGTAGAACTCTAATTCAAATGAACTGAAAGAAATCAATCATGGTTCTAAGGATATGTCCAATGTACCCAAGTAGAATCTAGGATCTTAAAACTCTACTTAGATTTTTTTCAAGAATTTCCTTAGAATCATCTTAGTATTTTCTAAAAGTCCAGCTTGCAACTTTCTCTGGTATTTCCTTTTTAATTTTCTTCTTTTAAACTCTTTGAACTCCCTTTTAATTACTCCTAAAAATTCTCTTGAAATTTTCTTCAGCGTTTCAAAAGTATTCGCCCAAAGCTCCATTGGAATTATTCATTGCATTACATTGTATTTCTGCCTAGGAACACTTTGAAATGTTGCACAGAATTTTCGTGGAGTTCTCCTTTGAGTTCCATTGAAATTCCGTGCGTTGAATTCCTTTCCAGAATTAAATTTTCCTGGAATTCTACTCAGAACCAGAACAACCCAAGTAACCATTTCGCTTTTTTGGCTATACCAGTGTTTGTTCTGATGAGGTCCATACGGCTAAGGTTGTTGAATCATAGAGATTCAAAAACTGCATTCGGCTCGCATGTCTGACCTCCTAGATCAGTGTTTGTCAGACCGCAGAGCACCCCTAATCGCAAGCTCGCTGCTCTCATATACGCTTGTAGGTATACGCGGAGCACTGGGTGCTTCTTCAAATCGTGTTGGAGACCACAACAAATGTTCCACTAGATCAACAACACCTGAAACAATGTCCGTAGTAGCGCAACCTAGCGTAAGCAGGTTCGAGTCTAATCGCAATAATTACGATTTATTTACATATTTAATAGCAATAGATGTTCTAAGCAGGGTTACATCCACTCACCTCGCTATAAAAAATGTTTTTTCGGAACTATGGAATCATTGGATGCTATTATGAAAGTTTGTATTTGCCAGAAACAAGAAGAGGTTGGAAGGTATGTATTTGACACATAAAACCTGTCAATTTCACTTTCAGTGCGTCACAATCAGCGAATTTATGACTCGTGAGCGTTCACTCAGAGTGAGCGCTCACGAATTGTAAAATCACTTATTGTGACGCACTGAAAGCAATAATGACAGGTTTTATGTGTTAAACACCTAGTTTGCAACCTTATCTTGTGACTTACAACTTCTAACTATCATTATAATATCTAATGATTTCATAATTCCGAAAAACAATTTTTTATAGCAAGTGAGTGGAAGCAAGCCTGGTTCTAAGTTCAACCAATCGTCTTGGACTTCAGACCACCAAATGATCTACTAGATCGAACACAACTGGTATAATGGCCCTAGCAACGAAACATGTCCACACTGATTCAAGAAGTCTGTACCCAACACTTACGATCCATTTGGATATGTCGGTTCTCCAACTCATAGTGGAGTTCAAATCAAATGATCTACTCTATCGACCACGACTGGTACACTGTCCAAACCGACAAAATATGTCCAAGTAGCTTCATAGAGTGTGTGTCATATTATCAACTCCATAAATCTATTTGGAACATGTGTCAGTCAGCTATCTCTTTGGAGTTATCCTCCAAAGTCCTAAACATCTCAACTAACCTTGAAACTTCAGTGGATTTACACTGGACTACCTCTGCATTCTGCCTCCTTCTAAGTTGACAGTTTGTCTACCGATCATTCATCATTCATTTGAAATCTCTTGTGGAAGCTTTCTAACTTGCGGGGGTGCTCTGATGGGTTTTTCGACCTAATCTGAGGGTCTCTGGGAATAATTTTAGAGCACTTATTTGACAATCCCTTGGAGGTTTAAGTCCTCTCAAGAACATTTTCCTCTCAAACATTTGATTGTTAGGTTAGGTTCGAAGACTTTAAGCTGCATCTATGCTTAAAGGACTTAAAGAACTGGTCTCAGAATTCTCCAAGACATATCCAACAAGGTAGTCTGAAATTTCGTTGGTTTCCAAATGACGGCAAAAGCTCAAAACTTCAAGAGTAAGTCTAGATCTCTGAAAGTTCAGGAAAAATTAAAGAAAAATCGGAGATAATCTATTCAAAATTTCTACATTCTCTGAATCTATCCACCTAAAGGTCTGCTGCATTTGGTCACAACATGCTTAGTTCTTTTATCAGAAGTTATCAGAACTACAAGATTACTTTTGGACTTAGCTCAGAAAACGTACCATCACATGTCTCCTGAACATATCTTGAGGGGTCGAAACGCCTTGAAATCCTCTGAGAATGTCTTTGGAGTTCTCCTTTTGTAGAGTACTCTCTGAAATGTTCATT